ACAAAATGCCAAATAGAACTAAACCTGGAAACATTTCTCCTCGGAATACTTAAAAAGAAATTTGATAGGAAAATAAGATATTTGATTCTACACATATTAACTATGGCAAGAATTGCGTTCGCGCAATACTGGAAGGAACGCAATATACCAGAGGGATTGATCATTCAGAAGATATATGAATGTGCCAAAATGGATAAACTCACTCTAGAACTAAAAGAAAAAGACGACTCGGAATTTTATGCGGTTTGGGAAAACTCATATACATGGATAGATAATATAAACAAAAATTGGAAATATATATAAGGCTATTGTGAGTTAGATATTGAATGTATATAGTGTATATATTGTATAGAATGTTGATCCGTAGTATACAAAAATGACACAGTCTGCTGATTGTGCATTAGAGTTGTATAAAGCAAAATGGTAATAAAAAATAATTTTTTTAAAAAAAGGTTTCAATTGCTTAACAATTAAAGGATTAGTCAAGCTGAGACTGCACGTAGGCACTAGATTCCAGGAGGCTTGGCTATAAGATACTCTTAGGCTTAATGAACAATTGATCCTTAAAGGAGCAATAAACAGGACAAAAGGGTGGTGGGGAGAAATTTTAAACAAAGTAACCAAAAGGAGAGACAATGTATTCTTACTAAGCGCATGGATAAGCGCTTAGTAAGGGTATTGTTAGATCAAATCATTCTCCGGTACGGGATGGTCACTCAGATCTATAGTGATCAAGGGAGCCATTTCACGGCAAAGGTGTTGCAGAATATTATAGAAGTCTTGGGAATAGATTCGAAGTTTCACACCCCTTGGCACCCGGGGAGCAGTGGGAAAACTGAAAGGGCTAATAGGAAAATAAAGGAATCATTAACCAAACTAATTCTAGAAACTCAAATGCCTTGGACAAAATGTTTACCATTAGCCTTGCTATGAATCAGGACACAACCCTGAAAGGATATTGGGTTATCACTATATGAATTGTTATTTGGAGTTACATTTACTCCAGGACAGATTTGTGTAGATTCCTTGCAAATGAAAGACAGAGTCCTGAGACAATATGTGCATAAACTGTTCAGATATTTTGATCATCTTAGGAAACAAGGATTGCTGGCACAAACTCCCTTGGAGTTTCCAGTCCATATATTCCAGATTGGAGATTGGGTGCTGATCCAAAGTTGGAAGGAGGAGAAGCTGGTTCCAAAGTGGGAAGGCCCTTTCCAGGTGCTACTAAGATCCGAAACAGCAGTACGAACAGCGGAGAAAGGCTGGACTCACTACATCTGTAAAAGGACCAGTGGAAGCTCCTATTGAGTGGAGAAGTGTGCCTCAACCTGATCCTTTAAAGTTGATAATAAGAAAAAGCAAAATATAGATATTAATAAGAAGGGAGAGCTTTAAATATATTGGTTTTGTGACTGTAAATGTTGGTGTAATTGTTGTTGTTGTTGTACCCATTGCCCAGACTGTGCACCGATACACGGAGACTGCAGAGAAGAGTGTGATATAGTGATAATTGAAGACTGGTGTCCTGATTACTGATCCCAGCCCCATTTGCAAATGGTGGTGTTAAGAGGAGAAAGGGAGAAAGTACCTTTCCAGGGTGGGACAGAATTGGAACAATATCCAACCTTAAAATGACCTTAGTTACATGAGTAATTAAAATATGGATTATAGTGGGGATAGTAGAGCTTGGGAGTATATGCAAAGGCCAAAGTACAAATAACTCTGGTAACTGCAATGCCTGCATTAAAACCGCCAAAATGGGTAATAAGATAACCAAAACTCAGACATATCATACTCAGATGAGCTGCAAAAAGGTGATAGGAACGTGTGTTTACAATACCACCCAATTTTCCCTTTGTAATGAAAAAGGAAGGATTACATGCGTTGACCCCTCTAGCATGAAATATCATTTGGGTATTTGCCTTTCAAAGCAGAAGGGGTCAAAAGCTATTATTATTAGGACAAAACACCAGTACCTCTGCTAATCACAAGAGTAGAATCTGCTTCAATGCCTGCTATATCATGAAGTTTAGTCCTTGGACCACCTGTTGGGGGCTGGGTTGGCAGCGGAGTTACCTCACACAAAGGGTATACATTTACAATCAACTACAACAGAAAGGAAGCTGATATGGGGCTTCTCAGACATATTGGTATTCCAATGGTAGGGGTCCACCTAGAGCAGCGTTTCTCAATGTTTGTGTGATGGTGACCCCGTCACACGAACGTGCCGCGCATGCGCGGTGCCCCGCGCATGTGTGACGGTGCACCCATGCGCGGCGCACATGCGTGGCGTGGCACGCATGTGCAGTGCTGCCCCCATGCGTGGCACGCATGCGCGGCACGGCCCCCTGAGGGGGGAAAATGGCACATCGCATTGTTTGGCGACCCCCGTAAAATGGTCGATCGACCCCAAATGGGGTCGCGACTCATAGGTTGAGAACCGCTGACCTAGAGTGTGGACAGAGAAGAGCAGTTGGTTTAATTTAACCAAGGGGGTCAGACAATCTGATTGTTTAGAAGACCATTGTACCCCCCACATGCTTACATTTTATGGATTCCGATGAAGGATCACAGGAATATGGGTTGGGAATTGAAAGTACAGGAAAGCACCTGAGCACCCACATCACCATTAAAGTAACCAGGAAAAATCTGACCCCAATAGAAAAAGAATTATTCCATTCCTTTTATGAGGAGCTTGAAAAGGCCAATCACCCATCACTTTTCTCACTAAAAATCTGTTTATAGATCTAGCTGAAAGAATAGGGAGTAAAGAATTGTTATGTATGTGGTGGTACAAATTTATTTATTTATTTATTTATGAGACTTATATACCGCTTTAAGTGCAAGCACTCTCTAAGCGGTGTACACCAGTAAGCAATGTATATATATATTTACATTGCCCCCAACAATCTGGGTCCTCATTTTACCTACCTCGGAAGGATGGAAGGCTGAGTCAACCTTGAGCCGGTGAGATTTGAACCGCTGACCTGCTGAACACAGTCAGCTAAAGTGGCCTGCAGTACTGCACTCTAACTGCTGCGCCACCTCGGCTCATACTGGGGGAACAATGGCCTTGGGAAGCCAACGAAATTGATATCCAAGATACTAACATCACGTCTACATGGACTACTAAATTAACCAAGAAAAGCCAAAAATGGCCCTTAACTACATCCATTATAGGTCACTTCTGCTTTCAGAGAAACTGCTCCAAAGACCAGGAGGAGGTAGGAACCATGGTATGTGAAGGCCAGAGATCTTATAGGGACTCAGGTATTCAGAATTGGGGAACCATGCATAATATTGGACAAAATCCTTTTAATAACATGGTTCTACAGGGGTTATGGAACAATGCATCCCAAGGATGGTTCATCCTAAAAGGATTTTATTGGATATGTGGAAAATTTGCATATACCAGCCTACTTGACAATTGGTGTGGTTCATGTTTATTGGGAAATATAAAGGCTAGTTTTTTTTCCTATTCCCCATTCCTCAAGGGGAAAAACTTGGAATAGCAGTATACGAGGATAAGAGAGCTAAGAGAAAATGATCATTGAAAGTCGGAAATTGGAAGGATAATGAATGGCCACCTGAGTGTATAATACAGATGTATGGACCTGCTACTTGGGCTGAGGATGGATCATGGGGATGCAGGACTCCAATTTATATGCTGAATCGCATTATTAGGTTACAAGCGGTTCTGGAAATTGTTACTAATGAAACAGTGCTAACATTAAATAAGTTGGCTAAACAGAATATCCAAATGAGGACTGCAATTTACCAGAATAGGCTAGCATTGGGTTATTTATTGGCAGAAGAAGGAGGGGTCTGTGGAAAATTTAATTTGACCAACTGTTGCCTGCAAATAGACAATTAAGGGAAGACTATTGAGGAAATAACAAACAGAATGAGGAAAATAGCCCATGTACCAGTCCAAACTTGGACTGGAGTACTTGATGATGGGGGATTCCTGGAAGGAATTTTTAGGAATTGAAAACAAGCCTTATTCATGTTAGCAGTGATATTGCTAGGGTTAATGTGCTTACCCTGCTTGATCCCTGTAATAAGAAGTATTGTACAAAACATGGTGGAGGGAATGGTAAATGCAACCAATAAGAATGTTGAGCAAATGCTGATGTTAAACAAGGTAACTGAACATACTGCAATAATTGACTTGGAGAATGCCGAGGAGATCCGGGAAAGTTTAAAACCATTTGAGAATTTTTTTTTTTAAATTAGTATAAAAATAGAAAGGGTGGATTTGTGGGAAACAAAAATGTTTAAAAATAAAAAGATTCCAATTGCTTAACAATTAAAGGATTAGTCAAGCTGAGACTGCACGTAGGCACTAGATTCCAGGAGGCTTGACTATAAGATACCCTTAGGCTTAACGAACAATTGGTCCTTAAAGGAGCAATAAACAAGACAAAGGGGTGGTGGGGAGAAATTTTAAACAAAGTAACCACAAGGAGAGAATGTATTCTTACTAGGCGCTTCGGACAGACTGTACACCCAGAGGACCTATCAAATGGGACTGAAGGGGAGGGAATGGGGCATCATGATAGAACTGTATATAATGTTATGAACTTGAATGTTTGCATGTGGTCTCTGGTTTAGAACTTCCTGTTGAAGTCTCTCACCAGGATCCACCATGCTTTGCAAACCGCTTTTCTATTTTCTGCAGAATAAAACTCTTTTCTTACCAATCCAATTTTGTTGTGTTTTAATTCCATTTCCAATATACACCAAACTGGATCTCAACTGAAAATATGCCTTGGGAATACTATTCATTTATACTATTATTTGCAAGGCAGTTACCTTCAAACCAACATTTTCTGTTCAGCAAAGATAATTTGCTGTACTCTAATGTGTTTCATAAAGTCAGGAGATTTGTTCTTTACTTCAAAAGGAAACATCAAGCAAATTGGATCTTTTCTTAATTATTTGTCTTCTTATTGTCTTATTTGAAATTAAGGGACGACTAAGTTTTGTTTCTCCTGTTTAGCTTTATTTAAAAGAGAGAAAAATACTTTTACATGTTTTTTATTATTGTTATTATTATAACACTCACTACCCATGGAACCTTAGAATCATGGAGTTGAAATGGAAGTCTTTTAGTCCGACCTCCTGCCTATAACAGGAATCCTCAGACCATCCCAAACAAAGACCAACCTTTGCATCGCAACTTCTAGTGATGTAGCTAGAGCACAAATAGCTAGCACAATTAGATGGTGTTAGCACAACTCCAGAAGACAGGCTGTTCCACTGCTTAATAGTCAAGAAATTCCTTCTTCTTTTGAGTTTCCATCATTCTCTGTAGTGCTTTCCATCCATTGGTTCTTGTCCTAGCCTCAGGCACTCTGAAGAGTAAACCACATCCTCTTTCTTGCAACAGCCTTTCAAGTCCTAGAAAAGATTGCCATCCTGTCTCCTCTAAGCCTTCCAGTAGTATGCAGAAGCAACCAAAAATGCTAATACAATCCTGGTGTCGGGCCGTAGCAGAAGCTGTCCTGGTTACCTGTTCTGAAGACATCCTGACTCTCCAGACACGCATCCCGACGGCCCGACATTCAGCTGATTGGCGGGCATGCGCAGAAGGCGCTCTGACAGCCAGCTGGCCTCGGTGACTCTGCACATGCGCAGATGGTGGCTAAGAGGCTACAGCACATGCGCAGAGGGTCGGAAGGGCTAAAACTGCCTAGTACACATGCGCGGACACCGAGGTGGATCTAATGACAGTAAATGAAGCCGTAGAAGCTGCCGAAGCGTCGGGAAGCCATCGAAGCGTCGGGAAGCGTCGGGAGGTGGCAGCTGAAGGCTAGTATAATCGGGATGGATGACCATATATGGGGAAACTAGGGCGGTCCGGAAGAGGGCGGTGGTGCACGGGTGGTAGCGTGGGCTAGGTGGGGATTTTTTGAATTGTATAAAAGAACCATGACTGTAATGGTTGTCAGTGCTGACTTTAAATCGTTATTTTGCTGAAATAAAATTGAAGTTCTTCGTTCCTGACGTGGTGGCTCTGTGTCTGTTGGATGTGAAGTCAAGACGAGGCAACAGTAAGTCAGCACTCCCCTTAAACCCATTTATTAGAGCGGCCCTTGGGGACTGACCGGAGGCAGCATGGCAGAAGGGGTGCAAGACGCTGTCTTGGCTGAAGACGCTCCAGAACAGGTGGAGGACCAGGGCTTGCTCGTGGAACCAGCTGCAGTGGTGGAGGGCCCTGTAGTATGGCCGAAGGAACGGCTTCTTCTGCCAGCAGTGGATGTGGCGCCTGAGACCAGACAGAGGCCAGCAGTGACTGAGGCGGGGGAATGGTGGTTAAGTCTGGCATTACAATGGTTGGACACTGGTCGACAGCCTACGGTGGGCGAAAGGGACTCTTATGCAGCTTGGAGAGAAAGGAGAGTTACCGGTGACGAGGAGGACGAATGGAGTTACTCCACTGCTCCTGGACAATACACCCTTGATGTTTTAAGGGATAGGTTTGGGGAAACGGGTTTCCTTCCCAAACAAGGGGTGGCTCCCCAGCCTCCTATTGGTTCGTCTGGATTCCGTTTGGCTAGCCCACGCTTGAGGGTGGCAGCAGCACAGCAGGAGAAAGGGGGGCAGGGAGGTTTGAGAATGGGACTCACACATGCTAGTCGTACCACCCCTGTTTCTCTGCCTTTAGGATCTGGGGATCTTGGTCGACAATCCACTGTCAGTGGGGGACAACAAGGGGGTCAACCGGCTTTAGTGTGGCCCACAGGTATGCCATGGACCCCTCCCCCTCTTGGGATTACGTTTGATGGCGATCCAGATAAATTGGCTATGTTCCTGGGCCATGTGTTAAATCATTTAGATCGCTTTGCGGCTCATTACACTTTGCAGTGGGCCATAGTGGTAGCAGTGACTGCCAATTTGCAGGGTGAGGCAGCTACTTGGGTGGCGGATTTGTTTGGAGATCACGCCAGCGAGTTGGCAGATATCGGTTCTTTTCTTGAGGCATTGAGGGTACGGTTTGAGGACCCTACCAGGGTTCAAAGAGCGGAGGCGAAAATTGTACGCTTAAAGCAGGCGGGCAGGCCAGTACGGGAGTTCATAAGGGAATTCCAGCGTGTGGCAGGCCGATTAAGATCATGGCCTGAGAAGTTGCTAGTGTATCACTTCCGACATGGGCTAGATGTGGAGCTACGACAGGCCTGTCTGGTGAGGGGGGTTCCAGCTCGTTTACACGATTGGTATAGGGCAGTTACTGAACTTTATGCTGGGCTGCAGGAGATCAGTCCAGGTGCACCCTCCCCTCTCCCCGCACCCACACAGCAACCAGCCAGTAAACCTAAGACTGTGGGGGCTCCGGTACAAGCAGTTCCACCGGTGGCGCCAAGGGGGATATTCCGCTGTTTCCGATGCAATAAACCGGGTCATAGGGGGCCCAGTGTCCAATGTCTCCAGGAAAGGGGGTGTCTTCAGGACAGTCTGTGCCGGCGGCGAGAAGGCAGGAAGTCACGCCATTCCGGGGTACAGATCAAATGAGAGCTTTGCAGCAAAATGAAGACAGCACACCCTATGGACCTTCACCAGGAGTGGCGGTTTCAACCCCAGAGGTGGTACCTGACAAGTACGATCGGGAGGATCCAGAAGAGGATCCCATGGTGAGTAGTCCAGTGGTGCCATTTGCCATACCAATCTTCCTGGTAAATTGCAAGAACGGCCAATGCATAGAATGCAAAGCGTTGATAGATTCAGGTTGCACACGGTGTCTAATAAGCCGGAAAATTGCGGATGCGTTGGGGCTCCGGTTGAAAGATTTATCCCGGCCGATTAATTTTGAACAGGTGGATGGATCTCTATTGGGTGGGGCACCTGTGACTCAAGTGACTGAACTTGTCCGGTTAGAGATGAGGGATCATTGGGAATTAGTGCGTTTTATTGTAATTTCATCAATGACCGAAGAAGTGATTTTAGGATTGGCCTGGCTTGATAAATGGCAACCGGTCATATGTTGGGCAGGTGGATGTCACCACATAAGATTAGCTATCGGTCCCCGGCCTCCGGAGGATGGTAGTGAGAAACCATGTATGCAACCGCCACATTCCAAACTGCCTGGTAAGGAAAGGATCAAGGTGGCAGTGGAAGCCAGTGAAGGGGAACGTCTGTTCCTGGTAGAGCAGTGGTTCTCAACCATTCTAATGCCATGACCCCATAATACAGTTCCCTATGTTGTGGTGACCCCCAACCACTTATACATCACCGGGTGCCAGGGGCGTGGCCAAAGAAAAGGGGGAAAAATGGTGGACAGCCTTGTTTGGCGACCTCCATGAAATGGTCGTTCGACCCCAAATGGGGTCCTGACCCACAGGTTGAGAACCACTGTGGTAGAGTATGAGGATCTACGGGACGTGTTTAGTGAGAAGGAATGTGATGTGTTGCCGCCACATCATCCTACAGATCGTGCAATAGACATTGTGCCGGGGGCAAAATTGCCAAAGCCCCGGATGTATCCAATGTCCCCCAAGGAAATGGAGGAGCTAAGGAGCTACATTGATAAGAACTTGGCACGCGGCTTTATACAGCCAGCCCGGTCGCGGATTGCAGCTCCTGTGATATTCTAGGGAAAGAAAGATGGTGGATTAAGGCTTTGTGTGGACTTTAGGGGATTGAATGCGGTATTTACTGAAAATATGTATCCCTTACCCCTGTTGAAAGACATGTTAACCCATTTATCCCAGGGGAAGGTTTTCACCAAACTCGATCTTAGGGAGGCATACTACCGTATCCGCATAAAACCAGGAGACAAATGGAAGACCGCGTTTAATTGTCCTTTAGGGAGCTTTCAATTCACTGTAATGTCGTTTGGATTAAAGGGAGCTCCTGCAGTGTTCATGCAAACCATTAATGAGGTATTGCATGAACATTTATATCGTGGGGTATTGGTGTACCTTGACGATATTCTGATATATTCTAGGACCATGGATGAGCATATAAAGATGGTTAGGGAGGTCTTGCACAAACTCCTCAAGGCCCAATTATTTGTAAAACTCCCGAAATATGAGTTTCATAAAACCCGTATTGATTATTTGGAATATAGAATATCCACCTCAGGTATAGAAATGGATCCGGCAAAGGTGACAGCGGTACTTGAGTGGCAGGCACCTAGGACAAGACGCCAGCTGCAGAGCTTCCTGGGGTTCACGAACTTTTACAGACAGTTCGTTCCTGATTTCGCACAGGTGGCTCTGCCACTTACGGAATTGTTAAAGACGCGGAAAAACCCCGTAAAACCACGACCTGGTCAGTCGTTGGCGTGGACTAAGGAAAGCCAATTTGCATTTGAACACCTAAAGTCTTTGTTTGCCAAGGAGCCCATTTTACTGCATCCGGACCCTGATAGACAGTATATCGTACAAGCGGATGCGAGTGATGTGGCGGTAGGGGCTGTATTATTGCAGCGAAACAACATTGGTAATTTACAGCCCTGCGCATATACCTCGCGCAAGTTGACAGAGACAGAGAGGAGATGGGCAATATGGGAAAAGGAGGCCTTTGCCATTAAATGGGCCTTGGTAACATGGCGACATCTCTTGGAAGGGGCTAAGCAAGAAATAGAAATTTGGACGGATCATAAGAATCTGGCAGTGTTGCAATTGCCCCGACGTTTAGCACCGAAACATGTGAGATGGGCGCAATACTTTAAGTGGTTTAATTTTCAACTTAAATATGTCCCTGGGGGTCGTAACTTCTTGGCGGACGTGTTATCTAGATTGCCCCAATATGAGAGCCAGAAGGAGGAATTGGTACAAGCCATATTACCTCCATATACGCAGGGCGTAGGTAGGGTAAGTTCCCGTTCATATACCAGAAATATTGAATCGGAATTGAGGGCAGCAATACCACAGGACCCTTGGTTCCGGGAACATCGTAATCTGTTCACCCAAAGAAACGGGTTGGCGTGGTACGGAGTAAAATTATATGTACCGCTTGTGTTAAGGGCTAGAATCCTTCAAAGATGTCATGATGTAAAATTGGCGGGACATTTTGGATTCGTAAAAACATTACACCTGACTAGACGCCAGTTTTGGTGGCCCACGTTACAGAGAGATGTAGAAAAATATGTAAGAGCGTGTTCTGTATGTGCTACGTGCAAAACCCATCCGGGAAAGCCAATAGGGTGTTTACAGCCAGTAGCTGATCCAGAATATCCCTGGCAGGATATTGCCATGGATTTCATTGTGGAACTTCCAAAGAGTAAGGGACACACAGTAATATGGACGGTAATAGATTTATTCTCAAAACAAGCACATTTCGTCCCGTGCAGGAAGTTACCGACTGCTCAGAAATTGGCTCACATGTTCCTTACACACATATACCATATCCATGGGGCCCCCCGGCGAATAATATCTGACCGGGGGGTTCAATTTACGGCACGATTTTGGAAAGGATTCACCACCTTACTCGGGTCATCGCAGGGACTTAGCACTGCGTACCATCCCGCTACCAATGGAGCGGCTGAATGGGCTAATGCAGCGGTGGAACGGTATTTGAGAAGTTATGTGTCATACCAACAAACTAACTGGGCAGATCTGCTGGTGTTCGCAGAAGTTGCGTATAATAACGCGGTACACGGCAGTACAGGGTATGCACCGTTTAAAGTTGTATCTGGAAAAGACTTTGTTCCCATACCTGAATGCCAGAACTTCGAAGCACAGCCATGTCTCCCACAAGAATGGACACAAAGGGTTTGTGGGGCATGGGCAGCTGTGAAAGCAGCGTTGGCAGAATATGGGTGAAAAATGAAAGAGCAGGAGGACAAAAAACGGCAACCCTGTAAGCCGTTTGTTGTAAGACAACTAGTTTATTTGTCCACTAAATATCTAAGACTGCAGATACCATGTAGAAAGTTGGGACCTAAATACATTGGACCGTTCAAAATCGTTAAAATCATTAATCCAGTTACTGTACAATTACAACTACCCCGGCTGTTAGGGAAAATACATCCGGTGTTCCATTGCAGTTTATTAAAACCAGTATATATGTACCGGAAAGGAACTGAACCGGGCCCTGTTATTGATGACGAATATGAGGTACAAGAGGTACTTGACTCCCGTATTAAGCAACGTAAATTGTATTATCTGATTAGATGGAAATGTTACCCTTTATCAGAGGCTACGTGGGTACGGGCTGATAATGTACAGGCTCCTTGCCTAGTTAAATGATTCCATGTACAAAACCCCGGAAAACCAGGAACCATTAGCACAGTGGGGGTCGGGAAGGTGGACGCGTGTAAACGGGACATGTGTGAACCGAAGTAACATATTTTGTCTTTTCTCCAGGGGGAGCCCTGGTAAAGGGGGGCAGTATGTCGGGCCATAGCAGAAGCTGTCCTGGTTACCTGTTCTGAAGATGCCCTGAATCTCCAGACGCGCGTCCCGACGGCCCGACATTCAGCTGATTGGCGAGCATGCGCAGAAGGCACTCCGACAGCCAGCTGGCCTCAGTGACTCTGCACATGCGCAGATGGTGGCTAAGAGGCTACAGCACATGCGCAGAGGGTCGGAAGGGCTAAAACTGCCTAGTACACATGCGCGGACACCGAGGTGGATCTAATGACAGTAAATGAAGCCGTAGAAGCTACCGAAGCGTCGGGAAGCCGTCGAAGCGTCGGGAAGCATCGGGAGGTGGCAGCTGAAGGCTAGTATAATCGGGATGGATGACCATATATGGGGAAACTATGGCGGTCCGGAAGAGGGCGGTGGTGCACGGGTGGTAGCGTGGGCTAGGCGGGGATTTTTTGAATTGTATAAAAGAACCATGACTGTAATGGTTGTCAGTGCTGACTTTAAACCGTTATTTTGCTGAAATAAAATTGAAGTTCTTCGTTCCTGACGTGGTGGCTCTGTGTCTGTTGGATGTGAAGTCAAGACGAGGCAACACCTGGGTTGTATAAACAGGGGCATAGAATCAAGATCAGACAAAGTACTAGTACTGCTTTACAAAGGCCTAGTAAGACTACACCTGGAATACTGCAGTCAATTTTGGTCACCATATCACAAAAAAGATGTTGAGAGTTTGGAAAAAATTCAGAGAAGAGCAACTAAGATGATCAAAGGTCTGGAGGCTAAAACATACAAAGAATGGCTGCGGGACTTGGGATTGGCTAGTCTAAAGAAAAGAAGAAGTAGGGGAGACATGCTAGCAGTGTTCCAGTATCTGAGGGGCTGCCACGAGGCAGAGGGAGCCAGGTTGTTCACCAGAACACCAGAGGAAAGGATGAGAAACAATGGTTGGAAATTGATCAAGGAGAGAAGCAACCTGGAATTAAGGACAGTGAGGACAATCAACAGCTTACCCCCAGAAATCGTGGGTGCTCCATCACTGGAAATTTTTAAGAAGAGAGTAGACAATCACCTGTCTGAGATGGTATAGGTTCTCCTGCTTGAGCAGGTGGCTGGACTAGAAGACCTTCAAGGTCCTTTCCAGCTTGTTCTGTTCTATTCTATTCTATTCTATTCTATTCTATTCTATTCTATTCTATTCTATTCTATTCTATTCTATTCTATTCTATTCTAAAGATTTCTTTCAATGATTCATTGTGTGATTTAGTCCTTTACCATCTTTGTTGATTTGCTGGCCACCCTTTTCAATTCCTCAGTATCTTTTTTGTATTGTGCTAACCAAAACTAGATGCAGGGGTGGTCTGACTGATGTAGTCTAAAGTCAAATTATTTTTTCCCATGAAATCAACTTTATAACTCTGTTGGTGAGTCCAAGATTCATTGGATTTTTTGGCAATTTGAAAGAAAGCTGTGAACATTGTCCAGTGTGTTTGTTGCTTGGGATGAAGTCTGAAATTGCATGAAATTCTGATAAAATTCAGATCCAAAAGCTTTTATGCATTAAATCCAAAATCCATAAACCTTTCCTTGAGTGTGTTATAGGAACTTTGATAAACTCAAAACCCATTGGGATATGAAAATTGAAACTCTAACTAAATACAATGCCTCTGGCATCAGGACATGCCTACTGTTTGGCCTAAAGGGAGGAGTCCCTAGATTTGTGGTTTTTTGAAGCTATGGGAGATTATGCTCAAAGAGGCATGGATCATGATCAACAAGCTTATTATGCACTTTTTTTGGACTTTACAAAGGAATAAGCTGATGCTTAAAGACTGTGGGTTGTGGCAACTTCCCACAGCACCACCTTTTTCTGCTGTTCCACCACCTTATAAGAGGATTTACCCCCTCACAGAGTAGGTAGCTATTGGAAGGGGGGGACACTAATAAGGTCCTGGTTCATATCCCCTTCTCCACATCTGATCTTTATGCATGGAAGGACTGATTAGGTTCTTATACTGCAGCCCCACACAAATATTCTGAATTGGTTCTGTCTATCATTCAAATGCATAACCCTAATTGGGCAGACTGTCAAGCCATGCTGGATGTCTCTTTAACATCAGAGAAAAGACATCTGGTAGGAAATGTTGCAAAAAGATTAGCGGAAGAAAGGAAGGTCCTTTGTCCTGAAATTGACCCTAGATGGGTCATTGATACTTGTGAAAGCAAAGATTATGAACATTTGAAAGGCTTTCAAGACCTTCTTGTCACTGCATTACAGACTGCTATCCCTAAACAGAAAAATTTGGGCAAAATATATGATGTTCATCAATTGCCTTCGGAGAGCCCCAGTGACTTCCTTGAGCGCCTGTACAAAGCCTTCAGAAAATATAGTGATTTGATCCAAAAGCTCCAGAAAACTCCCGCTTGGTGAATATGCTCTTTATTGGGCAGAGTGCCCCAGATATTAGTTGCAAATTACAGAAACTGGAAGAGGCTTCAACTGTCACAATTGGAAAATTGTTGGAAGTGGCTTATAAAACCTATGTATCAAGACCAAAAGTAACAGCCAAAGAGGTTAAAAGGGATGAAAAACGAAGTGTTGTTTTGCTGGCTCAAGCTTTACAATGAGCGCCTCTAGGGGGAGGGAGAAGAGGACGGCTAGGAGCAGTAGGGTCCCTGGGGAGAAAAGTAGAATGATGTCACCAAGATCCCAGGCACCCCTGGAACGTCCAATGCAGTCTTTTGCCCTGAGACAGTACCAGTGTCGTATATGTAAGAAATCTGGCTACTGGAGCAGGGAATGTCCTTTATGTTCCCTTCCCAGCCATCCTATAGGGCGTGTTACTCCACAACCACGCTTTAATTACCAGGGGCTGGGGGGCTTTGTCTCCCTGCCCTTTTGAATGATTTTCCCTCTGCACCCCTGGTAAAGTTTAAAGTCAGAGGGAAAACAATACCTTTTTAATTGACACAGGGGCATCATGTTCAGTATTAAATAAGCCCCTTGGAAATTCTTCCTCACAAAACTTTCAGGTTATTGGGGCCAGAGGTCAATCTATGTCAGCAGCAATACTTGACCCTATAGAGCAGGGGTAGGCAACCCAAAACACTCAAAGAGCCACTTGGACCCGTTTCTCACCAAAAACAAAACACTGGGAGCTGCAAACCCCTTTTGATATCTAAAATGAAGATAACACTGCATATATCCTTTTTTATCTTTATTATAAGTGTGTGTATGTGTATGTGTGTGTGTGTATGTGTATATGTGTATACACACACACACACACACAGAGAGACACACACACATATACACATTAAAAATAAAAGTAAAAATATGACTCTTGGGAATATCCATACTATTAAAACAATGATCACCAAGAGAATGCTTTAAGAGAATAAAATTACATACACACAAAGGTAAAAAAAGGATATATGCAGTGTTATTTTCATTTTAGATGTCAAAAGGGTCTCTCTCTCCCTCCCTCTCTATCTGCCCTTGGTCGGCCACTCCTCTTCCCCCACTCTCTCTCTCTCTCCCTCTCTCTCTCTTTCTCTCTCTCTCTTTCTCCCCCCCCCTCCTATCTGCTGCTCACCTGGCAAGCTTCAAGCTGTTGTCCAACAACCTCCAGGGTAGGCAACCTGTCTCTTTTATGACTCATGGACTTCAACTCCCAGAATTCCTGAGTCAGCCTAGCTGGGCTAGCTAGCTCTCTCCTGCCCTTCCTGCTTCCTGCTTGCTGCAGAGACGCAGCAAAGGGAGGAGCTCCGCCCAGAAAGCTTTTCAGCTCCTCGGAGAACACTGTGAGTGCACTCTCTTTTACACATACACACACACACACACACACACAAAACACACACACAGAGAGAGAGAGAGAGAGAGAGAGAGAGAGAGAGAGAGAGAAGCAGGGAAGTGCAATTGCCTCTCTCTGTCTCTGTCTCTCTCTGCAAAGGCAGAGGAGGCTGGGAGCCACAGGGGAAGGCTCAAAGAGCCGCATGCGCCTCCGGAGCCACAGGTTGCCGACCTGTGCTATAGAGTGTTCTTTCAGTGATACTCACCTGACTCATCAATTTCTTTACCTTCCAGATTGCCCTATGCCCCTTTTAGGGCATGATTTACTTGCTAAGTTACAGGCAACTATCTCTTTCAAAGGGGACCAGGTTGAATTATCAGTTCCCCTTGAACAAGCCTAACATGTCCTGTCCCTTCAACTTTCCTCATCTGAGGATACACATGAGTGTCCTGGTTTGTTAGATTGCTTTGTTGACCCTAATGTATGGTATTCAGGGGTCCCTGGCTGGCCTATTAATGCAGTTCCAGTGGAAGTAGCTTTGTACCCTGATGCACTACCAGTCTCCATTTGTCAGAACCTGCATATCAAGCAGGTCAGAAAATGATCACATGACCCAGGGACACTGCAACTGTCATAAGTACATGCCAGTTGTCAAGATCCAAATTTTGATCACGTGATCATGGGAATGCTGCAAGGGTCATAAGTATGAAAAATGATATATTTTTAGTGCCGTTGTAACTTCAAAAGGCCACTAAATGAATGTTGTAAGTTTAGGACTACGTGTAACAAATCAGCAGTTTTCTTTTCAAGCCCTTTCCCAATTTCTGCTTCCTGTCATCCTCCTGCCATAGGCTTGCTGATATTTTTCTTTTCATTAAGAATCACTCAACATTAGATTAGTTCAACATCAGTGTATATGACATTGAAAGAAAGAAAAAAGTATATGCATGTTTATATGTATCACTTTGTATTCTCACTGCATTGCATTTGACATGTCATTGGCCAGTAATACAGTTTGTAGCAAACCTTTTTTATTTGAGCAAGAAATACAGGTTGTCCTCAACTTACAACCACAAATAAGACCAGAACATCTACCACTAAACAAGTTGGTCATTAAGTGAGTTATCCCTGATTTTACAAACCCTTCATATCCAAATTTTGTCCAAATTTTGATCACATGATCATGGAGATGCTGCAACAACTGTCAGTGCAAGGTTTTCATGGTTTTCAGTGCCACAGTAACTTCAAATGGTCACTTAATGAATGGTTATAAGTCAAGGACTATCTATATGCAAAATATCAAAACAGGCAAAGTTGCAGCATCTGGTTCCAATCCTACCAAATGTGTTTCGATCTCAAAACAGGAAGTTCTGCTCCTTAAACAAAGGTTAGGACAACCTGCTTTGAGGACCGGAATATTTTGCTCAACAGATGAATTTTTGGTTATCATCAACCCAGTTCACCTCCTACAATATCTAAATAGTTTTAGAATTATCAGAAGGGCAAATTATATAACATTTCTATTTGCACTTTAGGAAATTAGCATTGCAAGCATCCATTCATTACTCTGACAATGGCAGTGAAGGGTTCTGTAACTGGAACAAAAAGAAATTGTTTAGCCTAACTATTGCTATCTCACTTTTGTAATTGCGTCAGGGACAAATTTCATGCAAGCGTGGGAAACATGTACATGGATGG